TTATTACTTAGCCTTCTTATGACAAAATTCGTTCGAATTCTCCTATTTTTCTACAACGGATTCAGGGGGACATTTGTGGACCGGTTCACCCTCCATGCGGACCATTTAGATACTTTATGGTTTTGGTTGACGCTTCCACAAATTGGTCACATGTGTGCTTGTTGTCCATAAGGAACGTTGCATTCTCCAAACTGTTGGCTCAGATTATCAAGCTCAGGGCTCACCACCCTAATTATTCGATCAAATCTATTTGATCGGATAATGTTGGAGAATTCATATCTAAAACTTTTGATGACTATTGCATGTCGATTGGGGTTGAAGTTGAACATCCTGTACCCCACGTTCAAACCCATAACGGCTTGGCAGAGGTTATCAACATTGCACGCAGGAAAGTTGGTTCGCCTAAAGCCTATTGCGACACAACCATTCATTGCCATTTAGTTGGTTACCGGATACGAACCTGACATATCCCATCTGTGCATCTTTGGTTGTGCAATATATATGTTGATCTCGCTGCCCTTACATATAAAAATGGGGCCTCAACGAATGATGGGAATCTATGTCGGATATGATTCTCCTTCGATTATTCGTTACTTAGAACCTTTGACAGGCAATCTATTTACAGCTCATTTTGTGGATTGTCACTTCTATGAGACAGTCTTTCCATCGTTAAGGGGAGGTAAGAACGTCAACATTCCTGAAGAACGACACGAATTATCTTGGATGACCCATATTTTGCCTCATTTAGATCCCCGCACCATTCAGTCTGAAACTAAAGTGCAACACATATTAGATCTTCAAAGCATAGCTCAAAGCATGCCAGATGCTTTCACCGATCTAGCACGCGTGCCAAGATCACATATTCCAACTACGAATGCGTTTGCAAAGATGGATGTACCAAATGTACGACTGACTTTCCTCCTGGAGGCTTGAGGCACTAATCTTGGTGATCCACATACATTAACGGCTTGCCAATCATCTGCCCCTATAAAAAAGCGTGGCAGACCCCTTGGTTCAAAGGAATCACACCCCCCGAAGAGGAATCCACGACACAAAGTTCTGACGAGCCTACCGTGAATCCGACTATCGCTTACTCATTTTATCCAACTCATAAGGAAATTCTAGATTATGGAAGTGTCCTTGAAGAGACGAATCCCCCTCTCGAGAATCGTGAGATTTCGGTCTATTATGCTAGCTTAGATGATGTATGGCGTAGAAATGAGGTGATTGTTGACGATGCATTAACATATGGAGTAGTAACTGGGATCATGTTGAGCAATGACATTGAACCGCATTCTATTGATGAATGTTGACGTAGAACTAATTGGTGAAACTGGAAACAAGCAATCCAAGTCGAACTCGATCTGCTTGCAAAACGTATGGTGTTTGGACTTGTAGCTTCTACTCCTCCACATGTGAAGCGTGTTGGCTACAAGTGGGTTTCGTTTGAAAGCGTAATGAGAAGAACGAAATTGTGAGTTACAAAGCTCGTCTTGTTGCACAAGGCTTCTCACAACGCCCCGGGATTGACTATGATGAAACTTATTCACCCATTATGGATGTGATTACTTTTCGCTACCTTATTAGTTTGGTAGTTTCTGAAAAACTGAGTATGCAGCTTACGGACGTAGTAACCGCGTATCTTTATAGGGATCTTGTTACAGAAATTTATATGAAAGTTCTCGAAGGACTTACATTGACTGGTATAAATATTTCTAAACCTCGAAACACGTTCTCAATTCGGCTGAGACGTTTACTCTATGGTTTGAAACAATCTGGAAGAATATGGTATAACCGTCTGAATTAGTATTTGACTAGTCAGAGATATGTGAACAACGAACTATGCCTTTGTGTGTTCATTAAGAAGTCACATTCCGGATCAGTATATGTCGATGACATGAATCTCATCGGAACTCTTGAAGAGCTCGCAAGAACTACCGCGCACCTGAAGTCGGAAGTTAAGATGAAAGATCTAGGTAAGACTTGATACTGTCTCGGTCTCGAGATAGAGCATTGTTCGGATGGAATCCTAGTATATCAATCGAACTACACCCAAAAGGTGTTGTGCCGCTTTAATGAGGATAGAGCAAAGCCTTCGAGTACTCCTATGGTCGTTTGATCGCTAGATGCAAAACAAGATCCCTTCTGTCCAAATGAGGATGATGAAGAGATTTTGGAACCTGAAGTTTCTTATCTAAGTGCAATAGGCACTTTATTGTATTAGCTCAATGCATTATACCCAACATCTCATTCGCTGTTAATCTTTTGGCAAGATACATTAATGCAACAACACGCAGACACTGGACTGGCGTGAAAGACATATTTCGTTACCTCAAGCGTATTATGGATTTGAGCTTATTCTATCCCTATGGATCCTCGAGTGATGTCGTACCCCCTCTTTCTCGAGTCGATTCTCGCCTTGTTGGTTATGCTGACACAGGATACTTGTCTGATCCGCACAAGGCGCGTTCTCAAACAAGCTATGTCTTTACTATTGGAGGCACCGCAATCTCTTGGAGGTAAACTAAATATACCTTAGTTGCCACTTCATCTAACCATGCTGAAATTCTCGCCTTACATGAAGCAAATCGGGAATGCTTTTGGTTAAGAGCAGTTATGGGCCATATTCGAAGCTCCTGTGATCTTTACCCCGCCGTTGATGTCCCAACGATGATCTTTGAAAACAATGCAACATGCATCGAACAGCTCAAGAAGGGTTACATCAAAGGAAACAACACCAAGCACATTGCGCCGAAGTTCTTCTTTTCACATCAACAATAAGAGTATCAGAAGATTGAAGTCATGTAAATCCGTTCACAAGACAATCTGGTCGACCTTTTCACCAAATCACTGCCGAAGACGACGTTTTAGAAGCTTGTTCATGGAATTGGTATGTGTAAACTTTCTAAGTTGTAACATTGCTATTTCTCTTTGGAATTGTGTCAAACTCAGGGGGAGTATTCTGAAGAATAATTGCTTGATCTTAATGTACTCTTTTTCCCTACGATTAGGAGCATTTTTCCCATTGGGTTTTTGCTACCTAACTAGGTTTTAACGAGGCACTCACCTTGAGCTGGTCATATCCCTGATAACGTCCCGTAAATGTTTCTTTTAACTTTGCATTTCTCACACATTTTTCCTTAGACTATGCATTTTGTCCCTACTCAAGTTTTTGCCATAACCTTAGGGTTTTTTTTAGTGAGACTCACTTACTTATGCAAGTTCCAACCTTATTAAGGATAAGCGTTGTTCCTTAGAATCAGTGCCGACGAGTCAACTTCCTCAACTTCTGCATGACGTTGAATCTACCTTGAGTATTTACACACTCAAGGGGGGGGTGTTGTAAACTTTCCCAGTTTATATGTGATTGTGTAAATCTTAGATTATATTTGATTTTAGTTATCCTTTCCTATTACAACTTGTATTCCTTGGGGATAAAGGAATTTCTTTTCTCCTTTTACTACTATAAATAAAGGCACTATGTAGGAGGGATAACACGCATATTCCCCTACAATTTTACAAACACATCTCTCTCAATCTCTCTACCCTTGCCGCCAGCCCCCTTTAACCTTGTCAGATAAAATAGGCTACACCAGTGAAGGTAAAAATTGTTTTTTATTTAAAAAAATGTGAGGGTATTATTGAATTTTAGAAAGTTTTATTAAATGATACTATTCATTCCGCCTTTTTGACAAAAAAAAACATTATTTTGAGAAGTATGGTATACTCTACTTCTTATTTTCTACTATTAGAGGGATCGCAGTTTTTGAAAAAGAAAAAAAAAACAATCTTTTTGGGTGCCTAAATTAAAATTTTTTTATATAAAAATAATATTATGCAAATTAAATTTGTAAACTAAATTTAATTTTGACAACTCCAAACTTGACCTTCCAGGAAATATCTATACTGATATTAAAAATGGGATATGATGCACAATCGATTAATTTAAGACTTTATGGATCAACTGTATGGGAAATATCTGTGCTGATATTAAAAATGGGATATGATGCACAATGTGGTCACGTCATGGGTACATATTCTTGCTGTAATTTTGTAGTTGGTCAAACTTCATGCTGTAATTAAAAAATATTAATTCGCATGAGTGTTTACACGCAAAAGTATTCATCTCGATGCTCCAAGCTTGATTTTTCCCTCGCTCACCATCACTTGTATCCAATACAGTATATTTTTTTTGTTTTTAACATATAACCCAATTTACCGACAACAAATATCCCTCTTTCTTATTATATAATTTTTTAGAGTGGACAAACAGATCGTGTTCGTGTCATAATCGTTATTTTAACGGATCATATCGTATCAAATCAATTATCTTATCGGGTTCTTAATAAGTAACCCAATAACGACCAGGCTCGTTAACATGTTGTCATGGAACCTGTTATTTGCGTGTAGATTAATGTGTCGTGCAAGAAATTGTCATGCATAATGTCTAGACCTGACAAACGGATCGTATTCGTGTCGTTCTTGTGCCATATTTATGATTTTAACGGATGATTCTATAACAACTTGACTCATTAATGAGTTCTTAATACGTGATTTGATAACGAACTAACTCATTAACAAGTTGATTTGAAGCCTATCATATATAGTCTCTCTATTTTGCCTGCTTTCTAAGAAACCTCCCCCGTTAAGGCTTGTGTTCTAATTGGTTTATATTGGAAATAAAAAATAGCGGTACATGCATCGGCTTTTACTTTAAGCAAGTCGAAACAACTTTATTTTATTTTATTTTTAAATTATCTTTAATTTCCCTTTGTTTTCTGTTTCTTGTTTCCCACATTTTGGTCATGAATGATAATTAATATAATCACGATCATAATACTAATGATATCACAAAGACTGCAATTACGAAATACAGAAAAGTCAAAGGCCAACTCAGTCTCTCCATTTCAATGATCCGAGGGCTTAATAAATTGGAAGCTTACTTGGAAAGGTTGCACACGGCAAAAGGCAGAAACTAAAAGTAATGGTCCCATGTGTTAAGGCCGTGAAGACTGCAATTTGCAAGCAGCTACCCTCCTCTCCCTCTTACTTACATGTCACCATAAAACTCACAACCAACGCGTTTGATCCTTCACCAACCATTTTCAAAACCCCAAATAATTACACATATATAAAACCTATCTCTCAAACCTTCTCCAACTTACCACCACCACCTCTTGCTTCTCTCTACTTTTCTCTCTAGATCTTTCTTTGTGATCGATTACGAAGTTATGGAGGTCGGCGCGTATAGCTCGAGCGGTAAAGAGCATTTATCATCAACCCCGCATCGAAAATCAGATCAAGAGTTCGGCTCTCGTTATGCCCTTCTAAAGAGAGCTGATGAAGATCACAAAGTAATAACTCAATCTAAAGCAACGGAAGTTGGAAGAGCTTATGGCGTTAGTGCTAAACAGAATTTGTCCTCAAACCGGCACCGTCGCTCACAACAAGAGTTTGGCTCTCGTCCTGCCCCTCAACTGAATCAAAAGAGAGTTGATGATCAAGAGCATAAAGCAATAAACCAATCTAAAGTAATGGACGGAGGAGAAGCTTATAGTATTGGTGCTAAAGAGCACTTATGCTCAAACCCACGTCGACGCTCACAGCAAGAGTTTGACTCTCGTCCTGCTCTTCATTTAAATCAGAAGAAAGTTCAAGACCCCAAAGCATATGAATCCAAAGTTGTAGCAGCGAATAAGCCTAAGCCTGTGTGGGATTGTGGCAGCTCACTGTACGACTCGTTCGAGCTCGACTCGTTCAAACGCCAACTCGACTCGGCCATATCATGCAGAACCATGTCAATGCCTCATTTGTCCGACCGCCGAGCTCCTCCTCCTCCGCCACAACCAGCCACCACAGCCTCCACCAAGAAACCCTCATCAAATAAGCTCTCTCGTTCGATTCAAAAGCTCCTGCGCTCTGTGTTCAAGCCTAATAATAAACCAAGTAATAATAACAATTCTGGTGTCGTTCTTAGAGCCCAAGATCATCAGCAAGCAAATATCAAGGATGGATTTTACGTTGTCTACGACACAACAGGTGCACTTACGACAATTCAAGAAGTGGTTCCTCACGAGTTTGATTTCGGTGGCCTCTCCCCCGAGATTGGGACGTTGGTCAGAAGAACTGGATCGGAGCGATTTACAGCTTCTAGTACTGCTAATATTGGTATTTCATGTGCTTAATTAATATTTTTATTAAATATAGCTGTAGAATATGAATAATACGAATTTTTACACACACACACACACACTTATATATATCCTATGTGTGTGTCGGTATGTAATACGTTTTTACCTTTTTATGTACATAGTATGTTATAGACCATTTTTTAAATTATTTTTACAAATCATGTGATGTGTCATTAAAAAATAAGCACCTTAATTAATACGTAAATAATAATCCAATCATTAACAATTAAGTCATATGTTTGCAAAATTTGATCTAAATAATTGATCTCCCAAACATTACACTTTTTAATATAGTATAATATTTTTTTTTTCATGGATATGTAGATATATAGTATATTGGTTCATTAGTTTGGTTCATTAATTTGGTTCTCATGTTAATATATAGTGTGCTAAGACCCATGCTATTATTTATCATATCGCTTAGGGGTTTAGCAACTTTGACGATTTCATTAATGGTTACCCTAATCTGGTCAATATGTGTGCCTTGGTCAATTAACTCTCTCAAACTTTTATTTGGGTGTTATAATCAGCCTGTTTCGTGATAAAATTAATTGAAAGAAGATCATTTTCGGATCTATTTTGTGAGGATCTCCTAGCCGTTCATCGTACATCATGCATCTAGTTTTCAGTATTATTTGTGTTTAATTTAAATAAAAAAATCAAATGATTTTTGACCATATGATACATAATGAATGTCTAAGATGTAAGGATCCCTAGGATCCCTACAATTTGGATTCGGATGGAATCCAAATCCAAATTAATTTACCTCTTATAATATATAAGGGTGACAACACGGTAGATATTACTGAAATAATATATATATATATATATATATATATATATATATATATATATATATATATATATATATATGAATACATACACGTGAATTAGTTGGTGATACCACACAAATATTTGTTCAACTTCTAGATTTTTGTTCAACCTAAACCCTAAACTTTTAGGTTGCGCACTCCAAACTTTTGCTTTTGTACAATAGCTATTTTCTTAAATTGATGACACAACCTCGAATAATCCGGGTTTGGTCTGCCTGTTAATTTAGTAACTTTCATATTTTAACAATATAACATACTTTAGCTTGTTAATTTAGTCCGGCTTTGGTTTCTAAGATCCTGCAATGAAGCTGCTTAATTAGGATATTGCTTCTACATCTAGAAACTGAATGTTCCATTATTTTTGGGTCTAAAGGGCTGTACATTCTGGTTTAAAATAATGCTCATTATTGCTAAACTAGATTAGTACAATGGAGAATGAATTGTATAGAATGGGTTCACCATCATCATAACGTCCTGATCTAAGAATTAAATTATGTATAAATTTCTCTATGTGTAGCATTGCATTTTAGTCCAAGACGTCACAACACATAGAACTATTTCATGCAAGTTGCTTCCCACTTCCATGACACCACTAGGATGCATGGTTTAAAAAGGACAAAAATGGTATACGTACATAATCCATGAGATGTTACAGATAGGGCTAGGTATATTGGAAATTGACGATATAGAGATTAGAGATGGGCAATGCTTAAGGCGTGCAGGTAATTGCGGTTATTTACTCATAACCATTTAAACCCTTACCCACATAACCATTTACGCGTTTGGTAATTGCATAAACGGGTATGAGATAACCGTTTATAAATGGTTAACTGTACCCATAACCGCTTACTCATTTAATCGTAACCGCATAGCCATTTATTCATTTACCCGTTTTTAACACGTTTACCCATTTTTTACCATTTACCCTTTTTTAACTGTTTACTCTTTTTTTAACATGTTGAATAAAAAATAAATTTGTCATAATTTTCCTTTTCTGATAGTTAAACACTGTTATAGAAACATTTAACATGCATTTTTGTATTTCAATTTTTAAGTACTCATACCATTCCAAAAATTAAAATAATAATTTATGGAAGATAATTTTAGCTGTTATCAATGAAAGTAATATAATATAATATTTTCACCACGTCTAACAGACCCATCACCAGTTAAACCTGATTCTTTTTCTTTGTCGTTAATAGAGGATATGTTCTAAAATGTGAACATAAAGATGAAGCACCAATATTGGAGCCAGATGCTAGCCTAGTTTTCCAATGGTTAGGGACAACTTTCACCTCCCCACAAAACCTTTTTTTTTTTTTTTCCCTTCAAATGTGTTTTTCTCTTCCTACCACGGTCATCATCCAAGCTAGATTCACTTTGGTCCAAATCTAATCAAGATTAATGGTTCTCGCTTTGAGTCTCTATCTTTTTTTTCTTTTTTTCTTTTCTTGAACAAACGATATTACTATACTAAGGGTGGTGAGTTTAGCCTCACAATTAGTTAATAATAATGTGGTTCAAATTCATCTTCGAGTCTCCATCTTACTTACTACAAACAACCACACATTAACCAAACGATATAAGCAAATCATATTTGGTCACAGTGTGTATTATGGGGAGGATTTCTGAAGAACCTTGTCCAACTGTTGGCTGATTTAAAACCTCGGTTTTTCAGATTTCCAGGTAAATCTGGAATTACAACTTAATTTTTGACTGCTGCTAAGCTTGAGCTTTTCACATGTAACTCTCGGTTGAAATATATGGAAGCTGAAATATGCAAGCCGGGTGAGGCCATCTTGCCCTCACAGTTTTTTATAAAAAATACTTGAACGAACATTAGGCTGCTTGTTTTATTACAAACAACACATATTTACAAGAGAGAGACCCACGGACAAAACAAACACAACCACAAAGTATGGACCTCCAAAGTACAACACAACCAAGCCCAATAGTAAAACAGAAAAAACCCGAAGAGCCTGGATCCTCTACCACTGCAACCTTTGCCATTGCTGCCATAAGAAGAACCACCAAACTTGAACCAGTGGCCTGAAATCAAGCCAAATCGAGCCCCCCCCAAAAGGGATAAAAAGAAGATTGCAACAACCTCCAAAGAACACATCGAAGATCGGCACCACAAACTGAAGGAAGCTCGTGAGAAACAACCCACGAACGACAACGGCAACAAGGCCAAGTTGAGGCAAGAAGGTGGTGAGAACACCTGAGCATTGAGAAAATCCGAAGCTCTACATATCTTCCTCCTAAATGGAAATCGCGAAGATTCGCGTTCACAGTAGTGATTTGTGAAACCCAATCTAGGTGTGAGACCAATGGAGGAGAGAGCCAAGTGGAAAGGATAGGATGTGGAGTATCAGAAAGAAAGGAGGTGGAGAGAAAAGGAAAGGAAGAAGGGGGAGCTGGTGAAATGAAATCATAGGCACCAGAGAGGAGAGGAGAAGGTGGAAACAACAAAAAGGTAGAGGAAAAAACAAGCAAGAAAAAAAGAAAAGAAAACGAGAACCAGAGGAGCAAGAGGCTACCACCAACCCTAACCATAGCTAGGAGCAGTGGCAGCAAGGAGAAGAATAGATAAGGGGGAAGGAGGAGAAAACAGAAGAAGAGGAAAAGTGGCAACCGACTCCAACAATTTTTTTTTTTTTTTTTTTTTTTTTTTTTTTTAGTATATTTACTTATTTTGTGACGGCGGGTAATACCCATATATAATCACCATTTATATTACGGGTAAACAGTTATACTCAGTTTATTTATTTAAACGATTACGTATAATCGTAACTATGAATTTTAAATGAGCGAGTAACCGTATTACCCATACCCCTAGGTTTTGTCATCACTAATAGAGATACACGGTCAAAATGCGTTTATCTAATGTCTCATTCAATCCAAAGCGGTTCGAATACAACACTTGTTTTGGGGACCTAATGAGATGCTGGATGGTTGTGATGACACTTCAAAAAAAAAAAAAAAAAAAAAAAAAAAAAAAAATATATATATATATATATATATAGGTACATTCATATTTAGAAGTATGTTACTGGAAATCATAATGTAATTATTATAAATAATGCACTAGAAATTGTTGTTGATGCCAAAATTTGAGTTCAGATCAGCTCAATCATTTGTAATTTGATAGTCTACTCATGTTGAGGAGCCAAAAATATTCAAGAAAATTATGGAGGCGACATGTGGATTTTTGGATTAAAAAGACAAAATTACCTTTGAGGCACACTGGGATTTCCTCGCGCCTTGCAATGGACAATAACGGCTCAATTGAGATCAAAGGTGATCAAAATGGTATTTATTCAAAACTCTCTCATCAATCCCCATCAAATCCTCACCCACAAAGTAACTCCCAATTATTCTTTTCAAATTAATTGATTAATTACCAACTTAATTGCAATATATTATTTGATATAATATCTTGCAATTAGGGTCAAAATTCTACCATAAGTGGTCGGTCCTTATTTCTCCAAATAGGGTCGGCCATACCCCTATATATAGCCCCTAATTTCTCAAAAAACCTAAGTCCAATTCTCTCCCAAAAATTCTCTAAACACTTTCTCTCAAATTCTAACTTTAGCATCGGAGATTCTTCGGCCAAAACCCTCCCCCCCCCCCCTAATTCATCGTGGGTGCGTGAGGCTCTTGGCCTTAATCTTAGGTGTTATTATTTTGTAGGTGCATTTTCCTCAAAGGAGAAGAAGGGTAAAATTTGCATCCACAAATTGGTGCTTTCATTGAGAGTCTTGATTCACACGCTCGAAAAAGACAAAGACTCTCACATTTAAGATTTCACATTTTTTGTTCATTCGTAGATTTTTCGTACATTTTCATTTCTAGAATTTTTTATACAAAAATTCTTTGAATAAACGTAAAAGAAAAGTACAATGACAAGATATTTGGAAACCATGGCGAATGGAACTTCCAATGTTCAAGAATTGGGACCACGGTGATCCACAAGGCTCAACGTGATGACAAGCGGAGCGGCACCACGGCAGCAGCCACCGTGGTAACTCATGGTGAGATCCGAGCCCATGGTGGAAGCCTCACCTTGTAGCCACAAGACCAGGCCTATGCCACCTTGCAGCAGTGAGCCCAAGCCTGCTCCATAAGGGAGTCTTGCTCAGCCCAGCGTAAGGATACCCAAGTTGCAGTTCCAATTGCCAAGGCAATAACCTAGACCTTGTAGGCTCAAGGCTAGTGCGAGCCCAATGCGCCCTAAGGCCAACCCCAGGACGAGCTGGCCCGAGCCGTGGCCAGCATGAACCTAGCTAACATTTGAGTCGGGCCCAGGCCCAGCACCCACGTGC